TCACAAAAAAGGACTACAAAGATGGGAATGTATCAGAAGCTGCTAAATACAAGGTATGATATTGGAATGACTGCTCCTTTCACTTTCCTGCCATTGTTGGACCATTGACTCCAAAGCTGTGAGGTGACTGTGCTCTTCAGCTGCTCAAGTAAGAGGAGAAGGGAGGAATAACCCCAAGCACCAATACAGGTTAGGGGTTGACCTGCTGGGAAGCAGCTCTGCAGAGAAGGACCTGGGAGTCCTGGTGGACAAGCTCTCCATGAGCCAGCAGTGTGCCCTTGTGGCCAAGGCGGCCAGTGGTGTCCTGGGGTGCATTAAGAAGAGTGTGGCCAGCAGGTCGAGGGAGGTTACCCTCCCCTTCTACTCTGCCCTGGTGAGGCCACATCTGGAGTCCTGTGTCCAGTGCTGGGCTCCCCAGTTCAAGAAAGACAAGAAACTACTGGAGAGAGGCCAGTGGAGGGCTACAAGGATGATTAGGGGACTGGAGCATTTCTCTTATGAGGAAAGGCTGAGAGAGCTGGGTCTGTTCAGCCTGGAGAAGGCTGATAAGATCCCTGAGAGGGGATCTTATCGATGCTTATAAATATCTAAAGGGTGGGTGTCAAGAGGATGGGGCCAGACTCTTTTCAGTGGTGACCAATGACAGGACAAGGGGCAATGGGCACAAACTGGAACATGGGATGTTCCATCTCAATATGAGGAAAAACTCCTTCACTCTGAGGTTGACAGAGCACTGGCACAGGCTGCCCAGAGAGGTTGTGGAGTCTCCTTCTCTGGAGATATTCAGAACCTGCCTGGATGTGATCCTATGCAACCTGCTCTAGGTGATCCTAGATGCTTTGTAGCAAACATGCCAGGGGAGTTTGTACCATGCATACACAAGCTGTGAGATTGCACTGAGTTGATGATTGCATGAGATGAAGGGTTAACAGCTGACCGGTGAGTGTGGACTCTGCATCAGACAATAGAGAGGACATAGCTGAAATACTCAGCAAGCTTGTTTTTAATTGAAATATAAACAAAGCTGCTTTCATGGGAAGTGCCTTTCAGATATACTTGTTTCTAGCCTGGGAAGAGCTGTATAGAGTTTGTGTTCTTTCCGCAGATTACATGCCTGGCTGCCAGTGGGTTTTCACTCTTAGTTTACTATTTTACACCTGTGAAAATTGGGTATGGAAAGAAGTGCTGCATCTGTGAGCGTGACAGCAGTTCTTCCCTCACACAGCATTCAGTGCTCTAAAGATAATAGCAACAGTCCGAGGCCTGAAACAGGGAAGAATCAAGTCTTGGTCCATTTCTTTAAGCAATTGCTTTTATTGGTGGGAGAAGGGAGAGGACTTTGCTGAATAAATGCTTTAGATTACTCTTATGCATATAGCTGAGATCACATGAGAGCAGGAGAAGATTTTAAGCTCTTTCAGAAGGAGTGCCACTCCCCTTCCTGCCCCCAGGTTCTTGGTAAGTGGAATCTGGTGACTTCCCTATATATTCTGGTATCAGGGGAATAGACATAGAGGCACGAAAATAAGCAAGCTTACAAAGTTAAGCTTGTGATCATAATGCATTCCCTGCAGGCATGGGAATTAACATCTCCTATACAGTAGCAGAGTCATCTCAACCCGCAGTATAATCGGGAAGCATCTACAGGTTCATATGCAGAGATGAGATGTCTGTTGCACTTATGATATTTTTGTCTTATAGATGCTGATCTTGGTAGATCCATCTGCTACTAAAAGTTGTGTTTCTGGGGAGGCTCTAGTAGCCTTCAGATGTACAACATTAGTTTGACCAACCCACATTCAACTAATTGGCTTTTTCTCAGATACTAGTTAAGACAAAGTAATATTACTTTATGATTTATTGAAATCATTGCTCAAGGCTTAACATCAATCTTTGTAATACTTGGGTAAACAGTCAATATTTGTAACAGTTGCGTAAACAAGCACCACTGATTTCAGTAGAAATATGACCTAACTTAGAGGTTTATGGAGCCAGCTTTTTCTGACTGTGTTTGCACCAGTATGAGAATGACTGCAATATATCTGATCTGTTAGATAGATATGGATTCAGATTTCTCTAGCTCTTTCACACCTCACAGGTTTCTGCAGTATTTTCTTAAAGTTCACTTTAATGGGTGGCATGGATATAGTTAAAATAATAGGTATAGTTAAAAGACAGTGTTCCAATTTTCTAATGTTTCCCTCATCCAATTAAATGTTTGCTCTGTACAGTATGTGTGCTATGTGAGGAATTCAAATGGTTTTAAGTCAGGGCACTGATTTTCTTATCTCAGGCATTTCTACTAAGTACCTTGTACCCTCCTCATTCAAATAATAACAGAGCCAGGCTGTCAGGAATTGAAGGGAGAAGATGATTTATTTAAAATCGACTTGTTTCAGTGACAGTCACAGAAATAGTGAGAACCTTCCTCCTTTTTTACATTAGAAAGATTTCTTATGGAAAAGATGCATTAACGTGATCTTAATTCTCTGTGGGACTGGAATTGATCTGTAACTTTCTTGTATGTTTTTTCTCCCTCAATCTTTTGAAGTGTATCTACTCAAGAGACAGCAATTAGAGATTGTTTCATCTGTGATTATCTTATTGGGTTCCAGTCCTGCAAGTGTTCAGGTCAGTGGAACTATTCAGGTGTATGAAGCTATTCAGATGCACAGGCATTTGCAGTATCTTAGTGCGTGGCCTTTTCTGTGGTAGAAAATAGTGCCGCTGAGCCTGGGCTTATGTGAATAGGTGTTGGATTGCTTTAGACTATACCAGAATAATTAAATGTAATCCTCATTAGGGCTTGACTGGTTATTAATATGTACCTGTGAAAAAGGGGATTAAACTGTTCCTCATCCAAATGTATCCGTTTTAACGACATCCCATAGTATTTATGTCCAGTACAATTAAGTTGAACATAGTTTAGACTTGAATGAATTTAGAAACCAATTACTCTGATGCTATTTGCAAGCTATTAGAAAAAAAAAAAATTACAGTTGCTTTACTTTTTTGTCTGTGTGGTGTGAACAAAGTCACACCTGAAGTCTGTAGCTGTACTGGTAACTAAACCCCATGCTGCTCTGTGCTGTTCAACTGCCTTTCAACCCCAGTTCTGTCCTTTTCTTCTCATGTGAGCAGATGAGTGAAAGACTGGCTCCCTCATCTTCATTCCCTCCCATCAGGTTTTTACACACAGTGATAATATACCTCTGAGCTTTCTCTGCTTCAGGCTGCCAGTACCAGCTCTCTCAACCCCTGCTCCTATGTATGATGCTCAAGTCCTAGTGATGCTCCAGGCATCTTTGTGGCCTTGCACTGGACTTGCTCAAGCAAGTCCATGTCTCTCTTGCATTGGGGAGCCCGGAAATGGGCACAGAACTCCAGATGTGGTCTCACTAGTGCTAAGCAGAGAGGAAGGATTGTCTCCCTTGACCTGCTGGCAACACTTTCTGATGCAGCCCAGGATACTGTTGACCACCTTTGCCATGAGGTTGCATTGCTGGCTCATGGTTAGCTTGCTGTTCGCCAGGACCCCCAGGTCCTTCTCTGCAGAGCTGTCTTCCAGCCAGTTGGCCCCCAGCATGTACTGGCGCCTGGGATTATTCCTTCCCAGATGTAGCAGTTTGCATTTCCCCTTGTTGGACTTCTTGAGATTCCTCTTGGTCCATTTCTCCCACTTCTAAATGGCAGTACAATTGTTTGGTTTGCCAGTCACTCCTCACAGTTTTCTGTTGTCTGCAAACTTGCTGATGAAACTTTATCCCATCATCCAGGTTGTTAATGAAAGTGTTGAACAGTATTGGCACCACTATCAACCCATACTACTAGTAACTTGCTTCCTAGTGGCCCAGCCATTTAGCGAGTTTTCAGTCCAGCTCATTATCCGCTTATCTAACCCATGCTTTGTCAGCTTGTTTATGAGGATGTTATGGGAGACCTTGATAAAAAAAGCCTTTACTAAAGTCAAGATAAGCAATATCCACTGCTCTTCCCATAGACACTAAGGAAGTCAGTTCACTGAAGAAGGCTATCAGGATGGATAAGCATGATTTCCTCTGTAAATCCATGCTGACAACTCTAAATCATCTTTTTTTCTCTTTATGTGTTTGGAAGTGGTTTCCAGGGTTAGTTACTCCATCACCTTCCCAGAGACTGAGGTTAGGCTAGCCAAGTCTGCAGTTCCTCCAATCATCTTTCATGTCCTTCTTGAAGATAGGAGTGATGCTTGCTCCCTTCCAGTCTTCAGGAATCTCCCAGTCATTGTGACCTTGTAAAGATTATTGAGAGTGGCCTTGCAGTGGTATAAGCCAGCTCCCTCAGCTCTTGTGGGTGCAACCTGTCAGGCCCCAATGGACTTACATATGTCCCATTTGTTTAAGTGCTCCTTGCTTGATCCTCCTCCACCGAAAATAAGTCTTCCTTGATCCAGATTTTTCCTGTGGTCTCAGGGACTTGAGATTCCTAAAAGTCTGTCTTTCTGGTAAAGACTGAGGTGAAGAAGGTTTTGAGTACCTCAGTGTTTTGTGTGTCATTTTCCACTAGGTCCCCTGTCCCGTTCAGCAGTGGACTGAATAGGTGGGCTGAATACATACTCCAGTTTTCTATCATTTTGTGCACGCTGATGGTGTGTATAGTCACATACGGTACTTAACTAGCCATATCTGATTAACACTGTAGACTGTGGAATGCAAAACAACTTGGAACAGACGGGTCTGTTCTCATCTTTTGGGCTAGAGAATGTACCCTGGAGAACTGATCAAGCAGTTTGAGTGATGCAATTCTGTAGTGTTCATTCTCTCTGCCATTTGTCCTGCTGGATGTTTTCAGCAATCAGCGTAATGTTGTGAAATAAAATGTTACTGCTCAAACAAATAAAACCTCTTCTTTAGGGTCCTATTAACAGAAAACCAGATTGTTTTATAAACACTTCTTTCAGTACAAGGTCCATAAAAGTGTGAGTTGTTTTTTAATTTGCTTTTTTGTTTCCTTTGCTGCAGAATCTCGAAGTTACGCAGAAGCCATTAACCATTCTATGGTGATGTCTGACAGCACTGTGAGCACTAACCCTGCTTTGCTGAGGGCCAACATGCAGATGGATCCCTCCTTTCAGCACTGTTTTGCATCTTCATGTACTGTTTCATGTAACAGTCCTATCCCAGGGGGAGACAGGTAGGAAAAGATTCTCCTACCTTACTGTTTAGTTATCATGACTACTGTTTCTAGCCAGTATGTTATGCTTGCATCTTCATTGTAGAGCATTTGTCCAAGGACTTTTGAGTTTGGTTGTGACATTTAATAATGATGTTGTCCACCAGCTGGAGTTTATCACATATACAGATGCTATTTATGTGTCAGGGAGACAATTAACTGTGAAGATAAATAGGAATACAAAAATAAATAGGAATTTCTAGCTCAGTTACTTTATTATATGCTAGCACAAGCTGATACATATTTTCCTGTGCGCTTAACCAGCCTCTCTAAGGACTTACTGAGGAGCATTTAATGAAATTTCACATTGGAATAAGTTGTATATGAGAGAGAGGGAGCACTCTTCTCACTGCAGTACATGCATTTCTAGTCAGTAAAATGTCAGAGGAATTTTTTTTGGTAGTGAATAGCTGATTCCCATTTAACTGCTTGGCAGGCTGAGAAATTTTATTATTTCATATTTGTATTGTGGTAAAAAGTATGTTGTTCTATTTATGTTTTATTTATCTTCCTATCTAATTGATTTCATTTTCAATCAGTACTTAGACTGTGAAGGAATGTTTTCGTTACATGATTATGAATGTGAATCATAAGACTGAACAAAGTATGTTAGTATTCCCTGAGGAGAAGGGAACATAACATTTCATTGTAAGTGGATGTGAATTAAAAGCTTATCAGGCAATGCAGTCATTATCAACTTTAGGTTCCTACTTTATCTAGAAAATTTTGTTCCCTTCTTTCTAAATATTTATTCTGTCATTTTTCATTTCATCTAGCAGATAGCTACAGCTGTGGGGGTTTTTTTCTTGCAATGATGTCTTCTTCCATTTGCTTCCCTTCCATTTCTTTATGGCCCTTCTACTTTGATCTGTTAAAATCTACTGGTATCCATTTCCACAGCTCCCTTTTAATTAAAAATCCTTTTTTTTTTTAATATATCTTATGTTGGCTCCTTTCCCTTTGCATCTCGCAGTGAGTTAGTTCTCTCTACATTTGATATTGCTGGTAGTTGCTGGAAAACCAGCTACAGTCTAAGGGCATTTAACTTTTAGAAGCAAGGAGACAATTTAAACTTTTATCATATGGTTTCATCAGAAGCTTAGTTTGTCTCATTTAGAAGGATATTTGTTATTCTTCACTTGAGCAGGTGGAATTGATACCCAGTAGAAAAATCTAATGTTTACTGTTGAAATATTTAATTGTATCAGTCAAAAATGATCCTATCAACAAGTAAATTAACCAGTGGACCTGTCTCCTTCCTTTTTTAATACAACTTGTATTAAAAGAGACCTGGTCTAAGAGTTGGGTCTTCTGAACTATGTTCTCATCATAGTTACTGACTTACTGTGTGATGGGCACAACTACCTCCTTAGCCCATTTATTTTATTTTCTTTTTTTTCTTTTTTCTTTTTTTTTTTTTTTTAAATGAGCATTCTTACTCTGCTGTGGCAGTGTCAGTTTTCTTCCATAGACCTCTGCCTTTGATATCAGGCAGTCTTGGCTTAAGAAATTCTTGCCTCCTATTGCTGTTTTCCAGGACCACTGTATGTGAAACAACGCTGTGGACAGCCTCACTGAACTGATTCATATTAAAAGTAACCCTCTCAAACAGGGAGGAGCAGGAGTATTTTTAACTGTGATTAATTTGATGGCCTGGTTTACAGTGCAAACTCAGAAATTGTCCCATCAGCATGGTTAGGTGGAGGGTGCGATGAGGCAGAAAGTAATGACCTATACTGAAGAAATGAGTGATCAGGATGGGGCTGGAATCCCTTCTTCCAGCTGCATTACCAGATCCAGCATGTTGTCAAAGAGCACCCTCAGGTATTGTCCTGTGTGAGGTCATGCATTGCTTTCAAGGATCACTGGAGTATGGATTGTGCTGTGATGTTTTAAGGGAATGATTTGGCTGTTGTTTTATTTTTGTGTTCCATTTTTGGCTTTTTTTGACAGTTCCTCTGCAACAGAACGTCCTTGGCTTGAAAGCAGCCCTAAAGCTTCCTCGTCGCTCCAGCTTTCAATGGGAAACAGCAGGCCGCCAGGAGGTTACCTTGTGCCCTCTGAATTTTCAAACACCATGCAAGATGTCTCTCTCTTGTCTCATTTCCAAACTCCAGGACTGCAAGTTGTCACCCTGAGCAGCCTGGAGAATTCACCAGCAGAGCCACAGCAAGAACCTGCTGTCACCAGCAGTGCCCGGGCCTACCTCAGCTACAGTGGGGGCAACAGGGGCAGTGGCTCCCCCCGAGAGGAGAGACAAGCTACTTTCATAGCCAATACTAGCATCTCTCCTAAAACCGTGAGCTCATCAGTGGCAAGTGCTGAGGACAATGGCTTTTTGACACAAAACTTTCTTACAGTGGCCTCTGTACACAATAGCCAGAACAGTGCGTTTCAGCAGCACCACGGAGGAAACCTACATGCTCAACCGCCTCTTCCAGAGAAAAAGAGGTCCTCTGAAGGGGACCGTTCCTTTGCCTCTGTGTCACCTTCTTCAAGTGGCTTCTCTAGCCCCCATAGTGGAAGCACAATCAGCATCCCCTTTCCAAATGTCCTCCCAGATTTCTCAAAAATGTTAAGCACTTCTCTAGTGCCAGGTAGGTTTTGCATCAGAGAAATGCAAAATACATTAGATTTTATATGAGTTTATAAAAAGCATTTAGGGGATTTTAAAAGTGAGGAGAGAAAAAAAAAAGCGCAATGGAATGAAAATGGCACAGAGGACTCGAATATTTGCACTAACTGGCACCAGTTCACTGGCTTTGGATGTATTATTCAGAGAACAAGGCTGTAGGATCCTTTCTATGCTTTCATAGATGTCAGCCAAGGGCAGCCTACCTTTTGAACTGCCAAACCACAAGCAAGCAGTGTGGAGTCCAACTTCTTTTAATAAGGGCTGGCTTCTCTCTGCACCTTTCTAGACTTGTGTCAAGAATAGTTAAAAATGTAGACGTGTATTCACTGGACCCCATTGAGAAGCTTTGTATTTAATACAGCTTTATAAATGTAAGAGTTTTTCATATTTTCTGTGTTTTGCAAAATGAAACTTCAAGAATGCTTTCAGAATCTTAGTGTACGGTATTATATTTGCTGGTTCTAAAATAGTTCAGAGTTTCTCTAAATTGTCCTTATAATCATGAGTTTTTTGAATAATGAAGGTGATTAGAAGTTGGAAAGGAAAGTTAAAAATGCTTTTGTATTTAAAAAATTTCTGTACTTTTTTTCGTTTTATTTCACAGAAAACACAACTGATAAACATGTGACTGTAAAATTTGTCCAGGACACATCCAAGTTCTGGTATAAGCCAGATATTTCAAGAGAACAAGGTATGTCAACTGATATATATTCTGATATATACATTCACAGAAAGGCTAGTTGATGAATTCTCCTTAAATTCTTTTGATGCATACCTGATGTCTAAAAGAAATACAAGAAGAAATACAAACTTAGAAGGGCCACAGACAACCTCACTTAATTTCTTTTGTCCAAAGGCTGAATTTGAGCATGGAGGGCAGTCAAGTAGTCCTTAAAAATATTCAGTTCATCAGGCAAATTATTAGCCTAACTGAACTAAGTACAAAGTAATTTAAATCTGCCTGTGGTAGCTGCTGCAAATGTACTTTACTGAAAAGCTCCAGGTTTTGGAATGGCAGATATGCATGATGCAATACTAAACAACTGTCTGCTGTCTAGAAACCTTTCAAGTACAAGCTCTGGCATGATTTCAGTCATCTGTGTTTCCCTGCACAGATGATGAGTTGAGAGATGCTAAATATCGGAGAATAATTCATTAGCTAGAAGTTATCATAAAAGCATCCTCATCTACCAGTTGTTCTGTAGCCTGAATTTCATTGTCAGCTGCAAGTCACATACATTATTTCTTAAAGGCCATGAAATAACACTCCCATGGAACAACATCTTTATGATGTACAATACAGATACTGTACATCTATATGTAGGTGTGTATTGAATGAGATGGAGAAAGCTTTTATTATGTATGTGAAAACGTGTGCATAGGAATTTATACCTTGTCCCTGCAACAATGCGTAAATAAAGCATGCTGGGTGCTTTGCAGATGCAATTGGTCTGACAGTCCTTGTGTCCATATTGCAATATTCAGCTATACTGAACTGTATTTCATGACTTACGGCAGGATTTTAAACTGGGATTTTTAAAATGTGGTTGTCAAAAAAGGAAAAATGACAAATTAGTTCTGCATTGGAAAGGAAGTTCACACTAAACCAAAATAGCCTTCAGCTATTGGCAGATTATGAGTTGCAATGTCTGTCTAGTTCATAGTTTCTCAAATGGTGAGGATGCCTCTTGTAGTTCTAAATATGAGCCCAGGAGAATAACAGTCATAGAAAACAGATCATTAATTCATCTTTGTATGATGTTTTACTGGCCCTTTCACTCCAGTCCCCTTCCCCTTGTCTGCTTCCCACTCATAATGAGAACTGAGTCTTTTAAATGTGCAAAAAAAATTTCCTGACTTGATTCCAGTCCAGAGAGGGGAGTAGATAATAAAGGAAGTTTAAACCTAGCTGCTTGAACAAATGAAAATAAAATCTTCCCAACCTTTCAGTGTGCCCCTTTTCACCCTACCAAGTAAAATTCCTTTTAAAAAGTGTTTTAGGATACTGTTGCTGAGGAGGAGGAGCACTTGTTCTTTTTTCCTGTGCTTAATGGATGGCTCCTGTCACAAATGATTACTGTCCCCCTGCAGATTTAGAAGTGTTGTGTGAGTACTGCTGAATTGCAGGGTTGTTGTGAAAATAGTTGTTTTCTTCATCATGTGACGGATGAATAGAATGGAATTTATATGCATTTGCATTACTCACTTAAACGGGAGACAATGAAGTCTGCATTTTTCCGATTTTCTGTTGCTACTCTTTTTTTCATGGGAAAAAAAAAAAAAAGATGTGTGTGTGTTTATGATGTATTCATTGTAAGGCCTTGCAAAATATGGCCTCATGCCCTATATGCATAATTTCCATGTTCTGTATATACAGACAGTTAAGGACTCCGGGGTGAAATTTGAGCTTTTCCAGGGTTTCTTTGAAGGCTTGCTGCTCGTTAGAAATTCTGGAAACAAACATGAGTATTTACAAAAAGTTTAAGGGGGGAAAAAAAAGCGCAAAGTACTAAGGTTTTATTAAGATCAAATTAAGATCAATCATTAGATGAATGTTTTGTCTTTTTTCAAAGTAAGTTTAAGATTTTGTGCTACTAGATTTGGAAGTCTGCAGCAGACTCATGCAAAGCAAGATCAGTTTCCCTGCAAATGTTTCCTCTTGGGAAGTACTTCATATTATACTTCCAGCAGAGATCATAGAATATAGATGTAAAATATTTCAATGCTTGGACAGTCAAAGAGCAAATATTCACTTACATCCCTTCCCTTGCTTTAAAACTAGTACAGGAGTGAGACAGCTTTGCAGGGACAGAAACTTGGTGGTGGATGATGACAGATCTGCTCCGCCTGTTGAAGTTATGTAGGAAAAGGAAAACAGTGCTGTCCAGCCAGGGAATTAGAGGGAGCTGTGCTCACTTCAGGCTTCTCTTGAAATACTTATCTGTGAGATTTGCACAAGATGTTTCCACTCAGATCCCCCAAATATGCTTGATTGTGTTCTGTTCTACTGCAGTGGAGATCGAAGAAAGGATCTTATTTCCTGTAGTCTCCTATTAATTATAGATTTGCACTTCTGTAGTTTTTGGGTGCGTGCATTGTTCTGGAACTGTTTTTCTCTCTCTTTCCTGGAATCCCTTGCAGCCATTGCTGTTCTCAAGGACAAGGAACCTGGGTCATTCATTGTTCGAGACAGTCATTCTTTCCGGGGAGCCTATGGGCTAGCAATGAAAGTTGCTACACCACCTCCTTCAGTGCTTCAGTTAAACAAGAAAGGTACTGTATCCCTTCTACCTATTACTGAATAAGCCATACATAGTAAGAAGTACTTATTACTGGGTAATAATTTGGAGGAATCTCCCGTCTTCTAGTAAGTCCAACTTGAATTACAGGCTCCATTTGGTACCTTGTTAAATGAGACTGGATGTCTGTTGTACTTTACGGTTTCACCATGGCTTGTAAGTGTATTTTCATTGTGGCTGTGCATGTGTTGTACCTTATGAACCTAACAGAAAGCCAGTGTCATCTCAGTATTGGGTCCTCCCTAGCAATCAGAAGTCTGCATTTGATCCACATACCACCATGTAAAGTGTTTTCTTGGCCCCCAGGTTTTGTTTTCAGACAGTTCTACATTAGATGCAAAACTGAGGATGTTCCCTAAGGAAAGATGGTAGTTGTTTAAAAGAAGTGATGAAATACACCTACTCTCCCAGCTCCAGTGCCTCCATGTATAACTTGTGCCTGATAGTTGTGAAAGGTAAAATGAGAAGAACGTACAGAAAGCATTAGTCAATGTATGGAAACTCAGCAGCCAGTATCTATAGTATTCTTGGCTTCATTTGTGCTACTGCAAGGGTAGCGGGATGGTTTTCAGTGCTGCTGTTTTCCTTTTACAAAGCTTATTATGTGTCCTGGTTTTGTCTAGGATAGAATTACTTTTCACATGGAGCCAGGACTGGTGAGCCAAAGCTGGCCGGGGGCTATTCCATACCATGTGATGTCATGCTCACCATAAAAGGGGGGCTAGTCGGGCAGGGGTGGGTTTGGCTATCTCCAGGGCGGGCTGTGTGTGTGAGCATCCTCCTGGTGGGTCGTGGGATCGGTAAATTGCTTTCTGTTATCACCCATTGTGAACATCCCGTTATCAGTACTGTTGTTATTTCCCTCTCCCTTGCCATCCCAGTAAACTGTCCTTATCCCAACCCTCAAGGCTTTGCCGTTGTTTTTCCCATTCTCCTCCCCGTCCCGCTGGGGAAGGGGTGAGCGAGCGGCCGTGTGGTGCTCAGCTGCTGGCTGGGCCTAAACCATGTCATTGTGTTTCATTAGTTTATGCTGCCTAGTGAGTTAAGCAACTGAAATCACAGGAGAGCAGTGACTCTTAGTGTTGTGGTTTTGGTTGGTTGGCTGTCTGTTGGTTTCTGGGGTTTTTTAAGATTTCATGCTTACTCTGGGGCAAGGTTAGCAGTCCACCTCTATTACAATTACACTTTCAAATTCTGTACACTTAATCTGGTATCTTGAGACAATTTCTAATAAATATTTGCCATGTCATCCTTCTTTTTATTGCCAAGAAACACCAGTAGAACTGCAATGTCTCATTCAGTGAAGACAATGGGTGCACTGGGGTGGTGATAGCAACAACAAGGAGGCAAATGGAGAGTGACTGTAGGTGGTTTTAGTAATCTCTTTTTATTATCAGACCAGTGAAGTCCAGGAAGACATGAAAGTTCAAACTCTATTAGCCTTTAAGAGCCGGCCTGTGTTAGTTGTACCACAGGCAAGTGGTAGTAAGAGAAAATTTTAGTTGAAATGGTAGCATTCTTCCATTTCTCTGTGATATTTAGCTTTTTGGGTTCCCACTGTTTCATCTCAGAAGGCACAAATTTGTTCAGTCTCCTGCAGGGTTTCTTGTTCCAGGTTTCCCCTTCCCACATACCCTTGTAGTCCTTTATTTTTAATATTGCGAGAGCATAATGACAAACAGTAAGCTATTTGACAAGGTGTATTTGCAATATGTGCTTGCATAGAAGTTTCTGCTGTCCAAATTAATGTGTTCATCTGTATTAGCCTGAAAGTCAGCCTTTCATGTCATGGGTTTCCTGGACCGTGGCTGATAGATCAGAATCAAAGGGAGCATTTGTGTTTGTGGCTCTTCTGTTAAGGTTTGAATGGTTGAGTAGTTTTGTCCCTTGATATTAAATAACCCTTTAATTACTTGGAGAGAGATTCAGTTTGAAGTCAGGTGTGAAAACCTGCGAACCAGTTTTTCAAGAAATAATGAAATTGTCTTAATTCTAAGTGTGCAGATGTATGTATATGTTTAAAAGAATGCTAAATCTTAAGGGAATTTTTATATGCCTCTCAGATTTTGAATCTTTTCATTACATTCAACTTAACAATTCTGATTTGTCCTAGATTCCTGAGAGATAAAAACTGTCTTTAAAAATGTAGTGAAACCTGAGTGTTTCATGTAATTGTTTGTTTTCAGGAGCAAAGATTTAGCATAAAACTGCAAACATTTCAAAACTTTAAAATTGACTGAGAGACTTGGCATCATTACCTTTGTATAGCTAAATCTTCTATTGTTTTAATCTGAAAAAAGTTCTGCAAGCAGAACTGTCACTAGAAATCTCAGTATTTAAGTTCATTATATTCATTAATCTTACAAAATATATATTACAGTTTTTGAACCAAATTAATAACTACTTCATAAAGAAACTAACTGTACATTACTGAAGTACTTGTTAGGATTTTTTTGAGAGCATAGTTAAACTTTACAATTGGACTTGATGATCTTAAAGGTCTTTTCCCACTTAAATGATTCTATGATTCTGTTTCATCATACTTTTACTCCCTTGTCACATTGGATACAAGTTCTTCTAATGGGCAAGTGCATCAGAATTTCTAACCATTTGTCTTCCAGATTTCTGTTCCTGTCTGTAGTGGGACCATGCTTGGACATTTTGGACACCAGTCACATCATTTGGATGTTCAGTCACGATTATAAAACTTTTTTATGTCTGGCTGTCTAAAGTGAACTATTTGCTTGGTTTTTTGCAACAGCTTGTAACCTTGCAGCAGAGCAGGTCTGCATGCTGTATATAAAACATTTGGTGGTAATATGGAAAACTGCTTCATAAAGACCTGCTAATTTGCGAGACTGTTGTCTGTTCATTGCTTCTCATCATGAGCTTGCTTTTTCTTTTTCAACACAGTTGGAGATTTGTCAAATGAACTTGTAAGGCATTTTCTGATTGAATGCACTCACAAGGGGGTGCGCTTGAAAGGATGCCCAAATGAACCGTATTTTGGTAAGTACTTTACATCACAAGGATACAGAAAATGGAAACAGTTTGCATTTGCCAGAGCTGTTTTATAGACTTGAGTGGAGTGCAAATGAGAGAATACTTTGCTCAAGTCCTGACGATTTCTGTAGGAACCCATGCTAAGGTTATAGGAGCCTTGTACACATTAAGTATATGTGCAGGGCACTCTAGCACAGTTGCACATGACCAAGCTTCAAGTGGCCAAACTTGTCTACGACTACAAAATGCTGCTGCAGACAGCTGAGCTAGATCATTGTTATGGGCCTTAATTGATTCAGGCCCTTTGCCTTATTTTATCCTGTGCTATATTTATACTGTATACTAGCTGCCTAAAATGACACCAGATTGGGACATTCACAAAGTACATTATGCTGTGTCAGCTTACCTAATGTAATATGATGAAAGTACGTTACCTGTTGTGGCAAACAGCCAAACATCTACCTAGCTGCATACTCATTTGCCTTCCTCAGTGAGGCCGGAGGGGAAAATAGGGTGAGAAGGCTCGTGGGTTGAGATAAAGACAGGGAGGTTTCTAACCTGTTACTACTGTGGGCAAAAGAGACTCAACTTGGGGATTTTTTTTTTCTTCTTTTTGCACCAATGAAAATCAATATTCAGGTAGTGAGAAACAAAGACAAACATTAAAATATAACACTTTTCCTTCCCCTTTTCTCCAGCTCAACTTCACTGCTTCCCCCCAGACTCCTCACACCCACCAGAGGCAGTGCAGGTGGGCGTGGGGGGCATACAATTATTACAGAACATTTCCTCTCTGACGCTCCATCCCTCTCCACTTTTTTGCCTGCTGAGGTGTGGGCTTTTGCTATGGGCTGCCATGCTTCAGGAAAAAAATCTGCTCCAGCATGCACTCTCCATGGGCCACAGTTCCTTCAGGAAACATCCATCTGCTCCAATGTGAGGTCCTCCATGGGCTGCAGGGTGGGGGACGTCAGCTTGGGTGCCTGGAGCACCTCCTTCTCCTAGTCCTTCTCTGACCATGGTGTTCCCTCTGCTGTGTCACCCTTTTTGTTCCCTTCTTGTCTCTGTGCAGCCTTTTCTGCCCTTTCTTAGATATGCTTTCCCAGAGGCATTTCCACCTGTGGCTCAGTGGTGCCCTGCAGTGGGTCTGTTGGAGCCGGCTGTGTCCAGCATGGGGAGGTCCCTGGCCTCTTCCCACAGAGGTCACCTTGCAGCCCTCCTGCGCCCTGCTACCAGCCTTGTTACATACACCCAGTACACCCGTGAAAGGGTCATCTACCATCATAAAATGAACAAGTGTAAAATGACAAATCCTATTTGAAGTAAAGGTGGATTGAATTTTGTCAGCGCTTGGCAAGAGACATTTAAAATCAGAGTTTTTAGTGCAGTTCTACCTTGATCTTGAAGTACCTGTTTATGGCACATATATGTAGCCCTACTAATCATTTAGTTTGAGCATCTCCCAATCTTTCAATGTATACAGCCTCAAAACTGCTTCACAAAGTAGGTGGGCAGGCACTATCACACACTCGTATGGATAAGACAATGAAGGACTAATAGTATCAATTGGACTTTGTGTTTCTGTAAGACCCTTGCAGAACTGGGTCATCTTTTCATTTCAAAGAAATTTTTGTTAGGCTGTAAAAATGAGGTTGGTTTTGGTTGAACAACTGTGATGTTTCCCAAGCACCTGATCATAATGTTCAATGTTTGTTAGTAAACAGGATCGAAGGGTGGCTTTTTGTACAAACAGACAGATAAATATTATGCCTTCCTCTCACTCCTTAGAGTACAGTTTCACATGCTAATGTCAAGGAGGACTAATGTTTAATTATTTTAATTAAGCCAAGTCAAAATGACAAAAGTTACTTTGAATAGAAAAAAAAGTAATTTAATAGAGAATGCTACATAGATCACTGCTGCATTGAACGAAGGAGGTTTTATCTAGACCATGTTTTATACTTTTAGAAG